TCCTCATCCTGCTGACAGTGTCTGTCCTCACACTGCTGACTGTGTCTGGTCCTCACCCTGCTGACTGTGTCTGGTCCTCTCCCTGTTGACGGTGTCTGGTCCTCACCCTGCTGATAGTCACGGGGATGTTGGCCCTGATCTGTATACGGGTCACGGGGATGTTGGCCCTGATCTGTATACGGGTCACGGGGATGTTGGCCCTGATCTGTATACGGGTCACGGGGATGTTGGCCCTGATCTGTATACGGGTCACGGGGATGCAATATTTAATATTGTGTCTAATGTGGAGAAGGGAAGGGAACTGTGAGGAGAGCGCGCCAAGCCAATACTACTATTTAGCACTTGGAAAGATCAGGATAAGGCCCTGAGATGGGACGGAGGGAAGGAATGGTGCCCAACCACTTGGGCGGTCGGGGATTGAACGACGATCTGCATGAAGCGAGATCATCACAGGTGGTTAGGTGTTTGTGATACGGACTTGGTGTAGAAGCAGGTGCTGTATATAGGTGACTGGGTGCCAGTAGTAACCTAGCCTTGACTGTGACTTCCATACCAGGTTGGCGAGAGTAGACTGCCTCCGGTCTGGTGTTGAGGCAGGTCTCGTCACCTCTGGTGTTGAGACAGGTCTCCTCACCTCACACACACTGTAGCTTTGTCACGTGCAGTTGAGTTCAGCTAAGTATTGTCTCCCTCACGCTCTTGTCAACTAATCATCGCACTATAACAAGTGCGATGATTAGTTGCACTTGTTAGTTGCACAACAACTAAGTTATTAGTTGCACAACACCATAACTTGCTAGTTATGGTGTTGTGTGTGTTTGAAGATATGGTGTGTGCCGTGGTGGGTGGCCAGAAGTGTCGGGAGAGAGTGTATGGAGAGTACACATACAGAGTGTATGGAGAGTAGTGAGAGAGAGGGCCAGCGTGAGAGGGGGGTGCCAGGTATCCCTCTGTGTGTAGGTCTTCTAGAAGCAGGGAGCAGGGTGGGTGTGTGGGCGGGTGTGGCGTAGGGTTGGCGGGTGCAGGAGGAGAGGGGGGGGGGGAGATAGGAGGCGGGAGTGCCAGAGTGCCACTCCTTCCGGCGTGAGTGTCGGAGTGGGAAGCCTGAGAGGGCCACTGGTCCCTCTCGTGTACTGGCACGTGTTGGTACCTCCCCATAACACACTCACACTCCCATGAATGGAGAAGCAGGCTCACAGACGGCTGGGGGGGAGGGAGGGGGAGTGTTGGCAAGCAGGCTGCTGGAGTAACGTCATAGTGACGTCATGATGAGGGAGAGGAGCTAGGGCATGGAGGGAGGAGGATGGTGGCACCGGCCAGTCTCCTCTCCCTCCTGTCTGTGTTCCAGTGTGCGCTCTTCACAAGCGGCCGCCTCTACACCAACACCAGTGTGCCATACAGTGCCTCTACACCTCTCACTCGTAGTGCCTCTACCTCAGGCACTCGCAGATCACTGCCATCCGGGAGCACTGTTCACCACTCTCACTTCTTAAAAACACTTTCATGTGAACATCAAAATATATCAAAGTGTATGTTCAAATTTGTTCAGTACGTTAATTCTTTATAGCAGAACAAAAATATGCACGTGGCAGGTGTGTCAGGGGTAGGAGTATCACAGGTATGGGTGTCATAAACAGGTGTGTCACAGGCATGTGTGTCAGGAACAAGTGAGTCAGGAACAAGTGAGTCAGGAACGAGTGTGTCATGGGCAGGTGTGTCAGGCTAAGCAATTTATATTTGTGGTTAGTTACGTATAATTTGATGTGTGTATGACGCGGCCCGGACACACAGCGGGCGGCGGGAACATGGCTGCTCCTCCCACCGTCACCAAACTTGTTTTGCTGCTACATCATTTTGTATGAACTACATATTTCCTGATCACTTATCATTAAATTCTTGAGCAGTGGACGATATTGTGACGTAGCGTGTGGCCGGACCAACCGGGCTGTGATGGGCATGTGGGCCTGCGGGCCGCTCCAAGCAACAGCCTGGTGGACCAAACACTCACAAGTCAAGCCTGGCCGCGGGCCGGGCTTGGGCAGTAGAAGAACTCCCAGAACCCCATCAACCAGGTCACACAGGAGTGGCTGTGTGGGTCTCCATCCAACCCGTCCTCTTAAGATAACGTCACTTTTCGCTCGTATGCGAGTTATGGCCAGAAATGGACGTAATTTGAAATTAAATCGGCTCACGGAAGTGACGTACTGTCCTGTTTTCTTTTTGAGTCTTCTGGCTTAATCGGTTAGGTTAGGAGAGGAAACTTTCAATTAACGGTTTTCATGACGTTTTGAAACCTTAGGAGAACTTCCTGCCCTCCTAACCTACCTGAGGACGCTTAACTTGCTGTTTTTTTGAAAAAAAAATCCAAAAATTAATTTTCAATTATTTTTTATTTTCAAATTACGTCCATTTTCGGCCATACGGGCAAACAGCCAAATTCAGACGTAATTTGTAAGAGGGGTCCGAGCGCGCGCACGTCCCCACGCACTCAGGCTGAGCCCAAGTCCAGTAGTATAACGTGTAGGAATCTCATTTGATGATTCATCTTTTTGGATGGTTGTATAATAGATAAGATAACTAGTGTGGGTTGCATCTTATCTTAGGTCTACAAGATGATGTTACAATTCTTGGTGTACTGTTGTTCTCAGGCTGCTTACGGCCAGTCCAAAGTATTGGGCAACTCCTTTGAAGGCAGATTCTTTGGCAAACTCATCAGCTCTATAATGCATTCGAGGGCCAACATGAGATGGAGTCCACCTGAAATGTACTTTTATTAATACCATCATTAATAATTTTGTTGTATTTGTGTCTAGCTTCAGACACGAGCATGTTAGAATTGTCTTAAAGACTCGAAAGTAATCAAGAATGATAAAGAATCACTTACAATTAAAGTGTCAAGTTTGGAGACTTGTACACATTTGAGTGCAAGAAGTATGGCCAATAGTTGATTGTGAAGGGTCGAGCCCCAGTTGTTAATGGTGACTCACCACTCCTAATATGAGCCATCACCCATTATCAGAACAACTGCACCAGTTGCAGCTTTAATAATCCAGTGTTGGACATCAGTAAAGGTGTGAAGGGCTTGTGTGCATGGGGATAAGATGAACGATCCTAAGCATTTAATACCAATTAGAGCATTAATGTCAGCAACATGATCAATAACGCTCGGAATATTAAGTTCTGTCTTCACAGTAATGATGCGTGTGGTTGATGAGCATTGGTGGACCCCATACCCATCCCGTGGGCGGTGGTGGACCCCATACCCATCCCGTGGGCGGTGGTGGACCCCATACCCATCCCGTGGGCGGTGGTGGACCCCATACCCATCCCGTGGGCGGTGGAGGACCCCATACCCATCCCGTGGGCGGTGGTGGACCCCATACCCATCCCGTGGGCGGTGGAGGACCCCATACCCATCCCGTGGGTGGTGGTGGGCCCCATACCCATCCCGTGGGCGGTGGAGGACCCCATACCCATCCCGTGGGCGGTGGTGGACCCCATACCCATCCCGTGGGCGGTGGAGGACCCCATACCCATCCCGTGGGCGGTGGTGGACCCCATACCCATCCCGTGGGCGGTGGAGGACCCCATACCCATCCCGTGGGCGGTGGTGGACCCCATACCCATCCCGTGGGCGGTGGAGGACCCCATACCCATCCCGTGGGTGGTGGTGGGCCAAATACCCAACTCGTGGGCGGTGGAGGACCTCATACCCATCCTGTGGGCGGTGGTGGAAATGGTTACAGAGGCACATTATGGGTTCAGGTATGGTAACCCCATAGTTGATTTAACCGAGTAAAGCAGGCGTGTGCGCATGCGCTACTCTCCCCGTCTCTGGTCTAAGAACACGGAATCTAAGCCAGTTAAAGGGGTTTTGCTTAGCCTGCCGGCGTCAGCTGGTGTACAGTCTCCCTGGTGTTGTGCTCCATCCTGGTGGTCTGACAACTGTGCTTCAGTACGTTCTTGGTCTGATATACAGTACAGTGCTTACCTCTCACTGTCACTGGGCTGTTTGGCAATGTGCTTGAGGTCGAACACTAGCTCCTGAGCTCAGCCTTACCATCTGTCGACTGTCTAATGCAGTGACTACCAATCCTCCTGTTTCTTGTCGTGTCTACTTTTGAAACTATTACGTTAGGTTCTGCTATCTCTCCCTCTAGTCTAGGCTATATGTTTAATGCCCCTTGCTCTGAAAATAGTGTTTGTAACATCTCTGACTCTTCTGAGGTCTCCCCTTTTACTGTGGCTCTGGTTCCTGTCACAGAGGTGTTCTCTGGTCCAACTGAGCGTCCTGCACGTTACCTGTGTTTCATACTTAAAGTTTTTGTATTGAACTGTTTCGAATACCTTCTGGCACTCCAGGAAGACGCAGTCTACCATCGTCTCCTTTACTGCTTTATCGCTGTTGTCTCGTCTCTATCCAACGTCTCCATCTCATCTCCATCCATGTATTGTGGTTCGTGTACTCACACGAACCTACCGGAGGTGTGTGTGTGTTCCAGCACGTTCCACCCGTTCCATATTGTGTATCTGGGTCCACTTTCGTGTATCTGTGTGAGGAAGAGAGAGAGAGAGAGAGAGAGAGAGAGAGAGAGAGAGAGAGAGAGAGAGAGAGAGAGAGAGAGAGAGGAGAGTAAGAGAGAAGAAATAGTAAGAGAGAAACACGTATCCAGCAATGATCTTGACATAGTAATACATATTTACCACTGGGATGAGGAGGTATATGCCCCCCCCCTCACAGTGTGTGCCAGGTGTGTGTGGTGGTGGTTCCCCCATCATCACTGGGTCAGGGCGCCGTCACACACCTGTCCTCACTCTCCATACCTCCGGCCCATGTGGTAGATGTATGTATTGCGTAGAGGTAGATACAGTAGTACATATATGTACTTATGGATATACGGTGTAGATGAAGTATGTACTGTAATAGGTATGTATTGTGGTAGAGGTAGATGATACACCACCACAAGACGGGTAAAAAAGAGCCATATACTCCTCTATAGGCACTAGAGGCGTAAACAAGTTGCTAGAAGCAGTGACCACACAGCGCTCTCCGGTAATCTCCAACGGATCTTCCTGAACGGGGCGCCAAGGTCACCTCACACGGGAAGGTTAACCTCAGAGACAGAGAGAGAGAGGGAGACAGAGAGAGTGAGGGAGAGTCAAGATGAGAGGAGGGAAGAGTCGGCCGCGGTATGTGTCCATCTTGCCCGGAGCCGACTTCCAGAGCGTGAAGGTGGAACCTGCTCCCCACACCCCCTTGTGGCTCTATTACAAGTAAGTTACCTCTGTTACAGGCTGGCTCTATGACTTTACTACACGCTGGCTCTATAGCTCTATTACAAGTAAGTTGATTCTCTAATTATTACAAGTAAGTTACCTCAATTACAGGTACGTTGGCGCTATGGTTTTATTAAATATTGGCTCTGTATGACAAGTTGGCCCTATAGCTCTATTATAAGTTGACTTTATGGTTGTTACAGATAAATTGGGTTTATTGATTGATGAGTTTACTGTATACATCTGACTACAAATGTGAATGTGTAGCTCTATAATTGAGTTGTATGTGGTTGTAACACACGGGAGTCGGCTCTACGGCTCGAGTGTTACACAGCTCTGGAACAGTGTTCTTGGCGAATAAAGACCACACAAGTACTCACCTAGTTGTATTTGCGGGCTATGAACCACGGCTCTTGGGTCCCGCCTCTCAACCCTAAATAGAAGGTTTGGGTATAAGCTATAACTGCTTCGTTTAGAATTAGAAGCCTAATACAGTTGTATACCATATTTCTTGAGTTACACACAAGTGAACATGTGAACACGCGCGGGCGCGCACACACAGTGACACGAGGCAGAAACAAATGGGCAAAGTTTCTTTCACCCTGAATGCCCCTGTTACCTAGCAGTAAATAGGTACCTGGGAGTTAGTCAGCTGTCACGGGCTGCTTCCTGGGGTGTGTGGTGTGGAAAAAAAGTAGTTAGTAAACAGTTGATTGATAGTGGAGAGGCGGGCCGAAAGAGCAAAGCTCAACCCCTGCAAACACAACTAGGTGAATACAGTGAGTCACTGTGAGGGGTGAGGGCCTCATATTGGTGAGACGTCAACAGTGGAGTCCCGCAGGGTTCAGTCCTTGGACCTATACTGCTTCTGATATATGTAAATGATATCCCAGAGGGGTATAGAATCGTTCCTCTCATTGTTTGCTGATGCAAAAATTATGAGGAGGATTGAAACAGAGGATGATAGTAGGGGGCTACAAGATGACCTAGACAGACTGAATGAATGGTCCAACAAATGGCTACTAAAGTTCAACCCGAGTAAATGTAAGGTAATGAAAATAGGCGGTGGAAACAGGAGGCCAGACACAGGATACAGAATGGGAGATGAATTACTTCATGAAATGGACAAAGAGAAAGATCTGGGAGTTGATATCACACCAAACCTGTTTCCTGAAACCCACATAAATAGAATTACATCTGCGGCATATGCGAGGCTGGCTAACATCAGAACAGCCTTTAAGAACCTGTGTAAGGGATCATTCAGAACCTTGTACACCACATATGTAAGACCAATCCTGGAGTATGCGGCCCCATCATGGAGCCCGTACCTTGTCAAGCACAAGACGAAGCTGGAAAAAGTTCAGAGGTATGCCACTAGGCTAGTCCCAGAACTAAGAAGCACGAGTTACGAGGAAAGGCTGCGTGAAATGCAACTCACGACACTGGAAGACAGAAGAGTAAAGGGAGGCATGATCACTACCTACAAAATTCTCAGAGGAATTGACAGGGTGGATAAGGATAAATTGTTTAACACGGGTGGTATACAAACAAGGGGGACACAGGTGGAAACTGAGTACCCAAATGAGCCACAGGGACGTTTGAAAGAACTTTTTCAGTATCAGAGTAGTTAGTAAATGGAATGCATTAGGCAGTGATGTGGTGGAGGCTGACTCCATACACAGTTTCAAATGTAGATATGATAGAGCCCAGTAGGCTCAGGAATCTGTACATCAGTTGATTGACGGTTAAGAGGCGGGACCAAAGAGCCAGAGCTAAACCTCTGCAAGCACAATTAGGTGAGTATACATACACACACACAGTGCCACGCTGCCACCAGCACGTAGGTACCCTAGGCACTGTGCCTGATGATGCGTGGAGCAACACACCTCACTGGCACTGTGAGGTGTGCCAGAGGAGCAGGAGAGAGCACGAGGCCTCACGGGGTGTCGTGGTAGTGAAGCCCCATGTTGTGTAATCCCCGTCCACTCTCAACCTCCACAACCTCCTGCCTCTCCTCCACTTGTGTACATATATATATATATATATATATATATATATATATATATATATATATATATATATATATATATATATATATAACAACAATAATAATAGGTGGTCTAAACGACCAGGTCTACACATTAGAAACGAAAGCTGGGATATTTTTTGTATATTATTATTTTTCTACCACAGACTTGGCCAGACATTTACAATGCTAACCAGCATATATACATTTTCTTGTCCTCCATGGACAGGGTGAGAGATCTGTTAAACATATAGTTCAGTGATTTATTGAACAATCAACCGCATAAGGTGATTGTAGTGTTTTGAAAATGCTAATCTAACCTATACACATAGATACACAGATTTACGTCTGTTTTACTAGTGTTCGATGTGTCTTTTTACATTGTCATTAATGTGCGTTTACAAATGTGAAATGCAATTTTGCATTTCAAATTACATTCCATCGTCTCATTTGTGTTTCCAGCTTCCACATATGTCCTCTGACGTAACCTTGTGTCACTGTCCACCTTCTCTACTCCCCTCAGTATCTTCTATGTTGTGATTATGGCCTTTTTTCCTTCTGTCCTCTTAATGTGGGATTGAGTTCCTTTAACCTGTCCTTGTAGCTTATATAATCAGTGCGCTTAATTCACGTACTGGTCATGTTATATAGCTCTCCACTTGTTCAAATGACGGTGATGGAGGAAGCTGTGATGGTGGTGGAGGTAGTTGTGGTGATGGTGGTGGTGGTAGCTGTGGTGGTAGTAGTGGTAGAGGAAGCTGTGGTGGCGGCGTGATGATGTGCCGTGTTTGTTCTCCGGCAATAATAACCAGGTGGTGGTGGTGTGTGTGTGGCCACTTGCTGTCTACCTGGCCCGCACCTGGCTACAGGTGTGGCAGGAATGTGACCCCCACAAGCTTAGGGGGAGTGTGGCGCGGCACTCCCTCCTCCACCACCACCACTGTTGCCATGATACTCCGGGTGGACTGTTGACTGTCTCCCTTACCTTAATGTGCAGTGTTATGATGGCTCTGTCTTCTCCTCCACACTTACTGCTCTCTTGTTATCCTGGCTTACTGCTGCGTTATCATGCTAGCTTACTGCTTTGTGATGATCCGTGTTATCATGCTAGCTTACTGCTTTGTGATGATCCGTGTTATCATACTAGCTTACTGCTTTGTGATGATCCGTGTTATCATGCTAGCTTACTGCTTTGTGATGATCCGTGTTATCATGCTAGCTTACTGCTTTGTGATGATCCGTGTTATCATGCTAGCTTACTGCTTTGTGATGATCCGTGTTATCATGCTAGCTTACTGCTTTGTGATGATCCGTGTTATCATGCTAGCTTACTGCTTTGTGATGATCCGTGTTATCATGCCCGCATCTCAGCGCTCCGTAATGGTGACTTGCTGATGTATTGTGTGGCGCAGTGTGTCAAGGATCTCCCCAACACCGCTGCCAAACATTAAAACTGCTCAGTAAACACGGATGGCAATCTTAATTTCCTCGGTGGTGCTTTGAATTAGAAAAGACTCCATTTTTGACCGTTAGATGATTCAAATGTACTAGACAATTACATGTATATGACGCTGCTTAGTATGACAACTGGATAACTACTGCCCGAGTGCTGTTGTTGTTGTAGTTGTAGACTAATGTAACGTCAAGTGGTGATGGAGATAACCTGGCTACACTTGCTGATAATTGTCACTGAACACAGTGGCCTACACGTAGCCTCGCTGCCCCCCCCCCCCCCGCCCCGCCCCCTTCATTCGAGGGATACACATCCCTTGTGTATTCACATAATTGTGCTTGCGGGGGTTGAGCTCTCCTCTTTCGGCCTGCCTCTCAACTGTTAATCAACTGTTACTAACTACTAACTAATATTGTTTTTTTTCCAGGAAGCAGCCCGTAACAGCTGTCTAACTCCCTGGTACCTATTTACTGCTAGAAAACAGGGATATCAGGGTGAAAGAAACTCTGGTCAACAGAGTTTACATTACGAGTGTTACGAGTAACTGGTAGTAACATATATATTATAATATTATACATGGAGTGCTAAAGTAGTATATATATGTGAACACGTCCCCCGGGGCAGGTGTGTTGTCAGTCCCACACCTGGAGAGGTGAATGTTGTCGCGTTGGGAAGATTGAGTTTGGGAGCGGAGATGTTGCAGGTGTGTGTCATTATATTCCAGGACGTAGTGTGATGATGTGAGTTACCACACCACATAGTTGATAGTGTGTGACAGTGTTGTCATTGTGTTCCCAAGTGTGTGTGTGTGTGTGTGTGTGTGTGTGTGTGTGTGTGTGTGTGTGTGTGTGTGTGTGAACGTCTCCACCTTGTCCCAGTGTTGTGTCCTTGTCTTCTGCACTGTTGTCAACACTGTTGGTTGGCTGTGTTACAGAAAGTTGTGTTGGCTGGTGCACTGTCACTTTCTCTAGTGATATTGCGTTTATATTTCACTCTTCCTGTAATGCTTATAAGGGCACCATTACAAGGGTGAGTAGTAGAGTTATGTACATGTAGTTTGTCATGTTGTATTCCTGCAAGTTCTGTAGCAGGAAGGGATGTAGTGATAGATGTGAGTCTATCACTACTCCTACAGTGATAGATGTAGTCTATCACTGTAGGATAGACTACAGTCTCTCATAGTCAACAAAGTAAATTCTGAATCATCCACAGTGAAAAGCTCAGTTCACTAAGGTACTGCTCTGGTTCTTTGTCTCATCCTCATAGCAGACATAGACAAGTATACAAACTATATTTTCTGTATCATTCTTTGCAGATAACACTAGAATTGTCATGAGAGTAGACATTGTTATATAGGACTCCTCCAATTCCATGTTAAGTCTTTCAATGGGCCACAGAAAATAACTTGTTGTTGAATGAGGATAAGTTCCAATTACTACTCTATGGAGAAAGGAAAATATGAAAGCAGAAACCACTATCGAATACATTCAAAGCACACTGTTGAACGAAGAAGCAGTG